GAATAACGTCATCCACCTCAGAGCTAAAAAGATCAGAGTATTTTATAAACAGTTCAAAGCGGAAATGTGGAGAAGCCAAGAGATTTGTTATAAAATATTGAAATTACTAAAAGCTCCTGGACAAATACAAAAAAAAACAAACTTAAAGACAAATGGAATGTTACCATTCATCTCATATGAGCAGTGAAGTTCTTCAGACAGAAACATATATGTTCAATCACAGACATTTAAAATTAGAACTGCATGAATTGTTAAACATAGATCCTTCACCCTGACTCCCTCTGATGATACATGTGGGTGCGCTGCATGGCATCAAGTAGACAACATGCACAATGCAGTTTTCAATACATTGCGTGGGCTGCGAGACAAAGCAGTGGAAACTACATCACTGTCATATGGAGCTCTAGGCAAATCACATCCAAAGCTCCATGTGCAGTTTAGGAAAGAGAATGAAACCGGAGCAAAAACAGTCAAATTTTATAGAAAGGGTTGCTGATAAGACTGTTATTCCCTTAAGCAAATAAGATGATTTGAGGTGTTCAAAACTCTTAATGAATTTGTTAAGCTATATAGGGAGAAACTACATTCACGCTGGCAGCGAGTCAGAACAAGGGTTGTGGCCTAAAAATGAATGTTGGGTTTTTGGAAGTGATGTCAGGAAGCACTTCTTCACACAAAGGTGAGTGCAAATTTGAACTGGGGTCAACTGAAAATTTCAAAATTTATTGTTGTTAAATTAAGGTTCTAATGGTTCTAGAACCAAGGCACACACCAAGATGCAGTTAATATCCAGATTGGCCTAGTTAAGTTTCTATTTATTCATTAACAGGATGTCAGTAGGACTGACTGGGCCAGTAAATATTTCCCATTCCTTACTGCTTGAGAGAGTGATGATCAGTTGCCTTCTTGAATCACTGCAGTTCCTGAGATGAAGGGACACCCACACTGCTTTCAGGAAAATTTTGACCTAGCAACACCAAAATACATTGCTGTTTCTTCAAAGTCAGGATGGTGAGTGGCTTGGAGGGGAACTTGCACGTGGTGGTGTTCCCATGTATCTGCTGCCCTTGTCCTTCAAGGTGGCAGTGGTCAGGGGTTTGGAAGGTGCCTTGGTGTGTACCTGCATTGCATTTTGTAGACTGTACACTCTTCAGTCACTGTGTCACAGTGATGGAAACAGTGAATGTTTAAGATGATGAATGGTGTGCCAACCAAGTGGACAGCTTGGTTGAACAAGCTCAAGTTGTTGTTTTGCTATCAGTTATTGATAAAATACCTATTGAATTATTTACCACTTATAATTTTGAAAAAAAGACAGTGGTTGACACCCAAGGGTGTGTGCTCAAGCCTCTGACAGCTTTTCACTCAAAGAATGTACAAGCCCAAGAACCCAGACAGTGGTAACTCAGCCACAACTGCCCCCAATTCCATGGGGGAGTACACATTTGCACAACATACCAGACCTCCCCTTTATTGTCTACTAATTCCTTCCTCAATCAGACACCCAAACAGAGATTAGCAGAAATATTTAAGTTACCTGCACACTGTGCCCGGTGTAGAACTGTGCAGTAAATTAAACAGGCTTCAGTGTGTAAACAACACAATGCATCTGAGTCCAGGCCATACAACAGCACTAGAAGTTTTTCTGTCAGTTTGCATAATCTGAAGCCCGTGGTTGGGTGTGTTTCAAAGTTCGGTGCCTCCAGTCTTGTGTGTGACACTCCACACAATTCAATCCAAGCCACAGTGACCAACCTCAGTCAAAGTGACTCCCTGGTTTAGTCATAAGCAACACTTGTGTCACACAAATGCCAGGCAACGACCATCACCAATAAGAGATGATCTATCCACTACCCCTTAACATTCAATGGCGTTACCATCATTAAATCCCACACCATTCTGGGGGGTTATCGTTGGCAGAAACTAACTGGACTCATCCTATGAACAGAGTGCCTACAAGGGCAGGTTAGAGGCCAGGAATGCTGCAACTAGTAACTCCCCTCCAGACTCTCCAAAGCCTGTCCATCATCTACAAGGCACAAGTCAGGAGTGTGATGAAATACTCCCCATTGGCCTGGATGGGGGCAGCTCCAACAACACTCAAGAAACTTGACACCATACAGGGCAAAGCAGCCCATTTGATCGGCACAACATCCACAAACATCCACTCCCTCCACCTTCAATGCTCAGAGGCAGCACATTGTACTGTGTACAAGATGCACTGCAGAAATTCACCAAAGATCCTCAGACAACACCTTCTAAACCCACGACTACCTTCTTCTAGAAGGACAAGGGCAGCAGATACATGGGAACACCATGATCTAGATCCCCTCCAAGCCAATTACCATCCTGACTTGGAAATATATTGCCATTCCTTCACTGTTGTTGGATCAATATCCTGGAGGTAAACTCTCACTGTATATTCTGGACCCTTACACTCACACAGACCCACACCAGCAGCAGCTTTTTAGAATATAACAGACTTGACAATCCAACCATGTAGGTGTGAACAAGAAACAAGTCAGAAAGACTGCAAAGGCTCTTCATGAATTGGCAATATACGATCGAGGTTGAATCCTGGGTTCAGAGGAATGGGTAGATAAGTTGGGACTCTTCAATCTTCACACAAAATACTGGAAATATCTCCCAACTACCCAGCCTGAGGGACAAATTGAAAAGCCAAAACGGAGACTGTTAGGGTCATCGTTAGAAAAGGATGTTAAGGAATATGGAACCAAGGTGAGCTGAACAGCAAAAGAGACTCAAGATGCCCTCATCTTGTAACAAAGAGTTAATTGAGGAGTGAACTTAGAGATCAATCAGTGGAACTCAAAAACATAATTTGAGGATGATTTTGAGCTAAACTACAACCATTAGTTGAAGAGCCAATATAGAAACTGAGGAAAGGCAAGTTTACAGTCAATTTCTTCTCTCAAAGCCGGTACCATCTGAGGTCTGGGCGACACATTGAAGGTAAAATCTCATGAGTCAGATCAGGGGGGTGGAAAGGTTAAGTTTCTGTGCAATTGTAAAATAGCCCAATGACTGCCCCTATCTGTATATATCCATTATATTCATCCTAGTCAATACTCGGGTAAGATTCCAGGGGATCCAGCAGCCTCATCTGTTGCTTCTCCTTTAAGTCAGTGACTCATCACCACTAACATAAGATGTAGAGATGCTGGTGTTAGACTGGGATAGACAAAGTCAGAAGTCACACGATACCAGGTTATAGTCCAACAAGTTTATTTGAAATCACAAGTTTTCAGAGAGCACGCTCCTTTGTCAGGTGAAGTGGCAGGAAGTGCACAGGCACAGAATTTATAGGCGGAGAGATCATTGCGAGATAATTCTAGGTAATTGAGACTGTCAAAAGATAGTACAAATGGTGCAAGTGGAGTGTCGACAGACTGAGTAACAAGTCTTTGCAGGTGATCAAAAGTGTCAAACAGTGTGAGTGAAGAATCAGATGGGAACACCATCCACCACATACACAATAGGTACTCATGGGCCTCGGCCAGTGTTGTCTACCACATACCTGTCGGACTGTAACCTGCTGACATGTAACTTCTGACTTTGACCACTGACTACACAAATTTCTGTAGCATTAAACCAAGGCTCCACAACCACCCTCTCAGCTGCACTGAAAAGACCCTACCCAACTATTGTGGGGGAAAAAAAAACTGGGAAAGTCTTCACAGCATCCTGGCAATATTCACTCTTCAATCAACTTGAATAAATAAAACAAATCACCATGTCATTATGACATTGCTACTTGTGGGAGCTTGCTGTGCCCAAATTGGATATTGCATTTCCTACATTACAATGGTAACTCTACTTTAAACTGTTTCACTGATTTTAAAGTTCAGGGATCATTAAAAGTGCTAGAGAAACACAAATCATTTTCTTCTTTCACTTTACAAATGGGACTGCATCTTGCCAACTTATCTCCAACAGAATGGTCTCAATCAAGATGCCTCACCTGATTTAAATGGAATAACTTGCGATGACATTTTGTGCTCGTCCTGAAAAGATTTTTTTTTTTGAAAAGAGTAGAAAGCACTTAAAAGGATTTAGTGCTGTAGATGTTATAGTGTTTTCCCCAACACAGATATGACCTAGAGATCAAGAAGCTTGCGCAAACTGGCACTGAAGTTGTGTTTAAAAGGCTGTTTTGAAACTGAATTAGGCATATTTTTGATTTACAAAGGTTATAGAGGCAGCAAACAAAGTGCAGTTGGGGCCACAATGACAGCAGCCTCATGGAGTCGAATGACCTATTTCTTATATTCCAGCGACCTGAGAAGTACGAAGTACAAAGTGAAAACAGTTCTTCTAATCCCAGTGTTCGCTGAGACTGCTACCAACTGTGGGCCCCACCAACGCACAGCAGAGACACAAGGGTCAGTGAACCCAATTAAACAAGAAACTTGCAGCTGTACAGAATGAGTGCAGGTCAGCCCCGCTGCCCAAGCAGTGCCCACCAACTTGCTTCACTGGTGGGGGGTGGGGGGGGCAACTGCCCCTTTTGAAAGGGCCTAGGCTGGATGGTGATGTGGGCAGGCATCTCCCAATCTGCCGGTCTCTCTGATAAAACTCAAGGGTCATCATTTAAAACACCTTCTCCACAAACTGCAGTCCATTCCAACAGCATGATTTCTTACAGTGAAAACAAAAGTTTAAAAAAATCCTTCCCCTCCCCCCGCAAAAAGAAAACACACACAAAAAAAGTCACATCTGTTTCCACTCAGTTCGGGACATTCCTTCTGCTGGATCCAGCCACGAAAACTCACTTTATTTGACGAAACAAAATGTGTGAAGGTTCAGTAACATTTGAATCAAAAGCATCAAGCTCTCTAAAACGATTGGGAAAAGAGTTGCAATGAATGTTTAGGGGACAATAAAGATAAAAGTTTGCTATCCCCCCTCCCCTGTGTATTTGGCAGCCGGACAGTTAAACAAATTCTGAATGAATAAAGAGGTTTCTTTTTTTTCCTTACCTGAAGTGACAGAGTGTAGCCCGGCAACAAGGAGGAGGCAGAGAGAGTGCAGGCCGGCCGGGGGAGCTTGGCGGCGGCTCCCAGTGCCCATGGCTAACGGGGAGGGGAGGGACCGGCACCGGGGGATCGGGCTGACTCCGATCCGAGCGAAGCCCTGTCTGTCTCTGAGCAATTCCCGGCTCAGGGAGACTGCGCGTCAACCGCGAGCCCAGTGGAGTCCGAGCGAGCGCCACTCCTGCTACAGAGCTTCCAGTATTCCCACCCAGTCAGCATTCACGCCCGCCTCTCCTAAACTCTTCATCTCTCACCAGCTCAAACCATTGACAGCGCTTCCAGTTTTTCTTTTTAAAAAAAAGTTACATTGGCAGGAAGAAAGTCTGTTTTCAATTAACAACGTTAACCTCCAAGATTTCTGCACTAACTCTTCCCCTCCCCATTGGAGTGAACAATAAGTAAATGTATACTCTCCATTTTTGTTTAATTTTGAAGTTACCAGAGATGTATTTCTAACACACAAGTAACTACTTTTTCTTTTCTTTTATATATACACATACGCAGATACAAATTAGGAGGAGGCCACTCAACTCAACTTTGTTCTTAAGATTCTGTACCTAGGTACTTGTACCTAAGATGGCACTTTGTATGGCAACATCATGCATTTTTCACAGTACTCTCATACTTGAGTACATGTGACAATAAAAATCAAAATAAGATCATGACTGTCAATTGATATCTTCATCCTTCCGCTGCCAGTAAAAACACACGTGTAGCCAACTAAATATTCACAAGCAAAGCCCATCAGAAGTGAAGGGGCTGCAGGGAGAGAGGGAAGGGGTTAAATCACATTGGAGTTAGCGAGGGTAATAAAGCACTGTATCCCCACCCCCTCCCTTCTCTCATTCTTGTTTAAAAAGAATCTATTCACCTCCACCTTATATGATACTTTAGGATAATGCTGATGATTGGTTTCATTGGAGAGGGATTTGAATGAGCAAAACACCAGAGACTTTGAAGGCCCTGGTCTCATCTCACGTGAAACTCATTCTGGAAGATGTTCCACATGCAGGACATTATGAATTTCATCACTGTCTGAAGGTGGAAATGTCTCCAGAAGTGCAAACCTTTTCCACAGGTATTGGTTGATTGATTGATTTATTGTCATGTATATCAAAATACAGTGAAAAGCTTTGTTTACGAGCGGTACAGGCAGATCATAGTAAACAAAGGATGTGCAGATCAAAAAGCCTTAGATGCAGGCATAATAGGAACTGCAGATGCTGGAGAATCTGAGATAACAAGGTGTAAAGCTGGATGAACACAGCAGGCCAAGCAGCATCATAGGAGCAGGAAGGCTGACGTTTTGGGCCTAGACCCTTCTTCAGAAAATTTTCTGAGGCTAGAGAGTCCAAATTATTTGAGACTAGAGAGTCCAATCATCAGTCTGATAATGGTTGGGAAGAAGCTGTTCCTGAACCTGCTTGTGCATGTGTTCAGGCTTCTGTATGTTCTGCCTGATGGAAGAGGTTGTAGGAGGTCATTACTGGGGTGCGATGGGTCTTTGATGATGTTGCTAGCCTTTTCGTGGCAGCAGACTGTGTAAATGGAGTCCATGGATGGAAGTTTGACTTCTGTGATGGTCTGGGCTGTGCACATCACCTTCTATAGTTTCTTATGGTCCTGAGCAAAGCAGTTGCCATATTGGCGGAGGCGATAGCCTAGTGGTATTATCACTGGACTGTTAATACAGAGACCCAGATAACATTCTGGGACCTGGGTTCAAATCCTACCATGGCAGATGGTGGAATTTGAATTCAATTAATGTCTGGAATTAAGAGTCTAATGATGACTGTGAATCCATTGTCAATTATCAGGAAAACCCCATCTGGTTCACTAATATCCTTTAGGGAAGGAAACTGCCATCCTTACCTGGTCTGGCCTACATGTGACTCCAGACCCACAGCAATGTGGTTGACTCTTAACTGCCCTCTGGGTAATTAGGGATGGGCAATAAGTGCTGCCTAGCCAGCGATGCCCTCATCCCTTTAATGAATAAAAAAAACCAGGCCATTATGCACCCGGAAAGTATGCTTTCAATGGTGCATTTGTAGAAGTTGGTGAGCAGATTGCAGGGTAATTTGCTACATGGTAATTTACTTTTTTCTTGAAGAGGTTATCTGAAAGGCATGATGAGATCAACGTTAATGTGGTGTACATGGATTTCCAAAAGGCATTTGATGCAGTGGCACATAACAGACTTGTGAGCCAAGATATAAGTCATGGAATAAAAGGGTTAGTAGCATCATGGATAGAAAACAGTGATAAGGAGCAGAAACAAATAGATTTTTTTTGAACTGGAGGAAGGTTTATAGTGGAGTTCTCTAGGACTCAGTATTGGGACCCTTGCTTTTCCTGATATATATTAATGACTTATGTAAAGGACAGTTTCAAAGTTTGCAGATTACACAGAACTTGGAAAATTTGTAAACGGCGAGGAGTGTGGAACTCCCAAAAGGATTTGACAAAATTGCAAAATGAAGCCTTTGCCACAGGAACTGCTTTTCCCTTTCCAGACGAGAGGCTTTACTGGAATCACCTTATCCTTGTGTTACTATAAGTCCTGGATAGGCTACTGAACCAAGGAGAAAGATGAAACCACATGACTGACTGATATGTACAGTCCAACAGAACTAAGCTAAGTCCAGATACATAAGTAGTTATCATATTTTCAAGTAAACTGAATCTCTGCTAGATAATTTGGTTTCAGAAACATAGAAACAAAGAAGCTAGGAGCAGGAGGAGGCCATTCAGCCCTTCGAGCCTCCTCCACCATTCTTCACAGTCATGGCTGATCGTCTAACACAATAGCTTAATCCTGCATTCTCACCATTTCCTTTGATCTCATTTGACCCGAGTACTATATCTAGTCACCTCTTGAATAATTCAATGTTTTGGCATCAACTACTTCCTGTGGTAATGAATTCCACAGGCTCACCACTCTTTGGGTGAAGTAATGTCTCCTCACCTTCGTCCTAAATCATCTACCCCAAATCCTCATACTGTGACACCTGGTTCTGGACACACCCACCATCAGGAACATCCTCACTACATCTACCCTGTCCAGTCCTGTTAGAATTTTATAAGCCTCTATGAGATCCTCCCTCATTCTTAGGAACACTAGCAAAAACAATCCCAACCTACTCAATCTCTCCTCATACGTCAGACTGGCCATCCCCGGAATCAGTCTGGTAAACCTTCACTGCATTCCCTCAAGAGCAAGATCATCCTTCCTCAGAAAAGGAGTCCAAAACTGCACACAATATTCCAGGTGTGGTCTCACCAAGGCCCTGTATAACTGCAACAACACATCCCTGCTCCTGTACTCAAAACCTCTCGTAATGAAGGCCAACATACCATTTGCCTTCTTTACCACCTGCTGTACCTGCATACTTACCTTCAGCGACTGGTGCACAAGGACACTCAGGTCCCACTGCACACTCCCCTCTCCCAATTTACAGCCATTCAGGTAGTAATCTTCTCTCATTTTTGCTTCCAAAGTGAATAACCTCACATTTATCCAAATTATACTGCATCTGCCATTGATTTTCCCACTCACCCAACCTGTCCAGATCATGCTGAAGGATCTGTGCATCCTCGTCGCAGTTCATCCTCGCACCCAATTTGGTAACATCGGCAAACTTGGAGATGTTATGTTTTGTTCCCTCGTCCAAATCATAAATATATATTGTGAATAGCTGGGCCCCAGCACTGATCCCTGTGGCACCTCACTAGTTACTGCTTGCTAATTTGAAAAAAACCCATTAATTCCTACTCTGTTTCCTCTCTGCCAACCAGTTTCCTATCCATCTCAATATTCTTTCCCCCCAGTCCCATGTGCTTTAATCTTGCACATTAATCTCTTATGTGGGAGTTTGTCAAACACTTTCTGGAAGTCCAAATATACTACATTGACTGGCTCCCCCTTGTCGACTCTACTAGTTACATCTTCATAGAATTCCAACAGATTTGTCAAGCACAATTTCCCCTTCATAAATCCATGCTGACTCTGTCAGATCCTGCCACTGCTTTCTAAATGCTCCACTATAAAATCCTTGATAATAGATTCAAGAATTTTCCCCACTACCAATGTTAGGCTTACTTGTCTATAATTCCCTGTTTTCTCTCTACTTCCCTTTTTGAATATTGGAGTGACATTATCCTTCCTTTAAAACACATGAAACCCTTCTCCATTTTCATCACGTTTAGGCAGGATTCTGACTTAGAGGTATTCAGTCATAACCCCACAGATTGTAGCTTTACACCATTGGCTCCTCAGCCAAGCACATAGACCAACTATCTGAACCTGTGGTTTCCCTCGTACTGAGCAGGACTACAATTGCAAAAACACATCATCAGTGGGGTAAAACTAACCTGTCTCACAATGGTCTAAGGTATTGAAATATGCTGTCTGTTTATCTATGGTATAAAGACATATTAATGGAAGTATGAGAACAGAAACTGTCATAAAAACACTAGAAATATAACAGATATGGAATGTAATGTTATTTTGCTTTAACTTCATTAAGTTAATGGAACCTGTGATCTCATTGAGTATCACTGGATTCATTTAAAGTCAATTCCCTCATGACCCGCAGCCTCTCCCTCTCCTAAAGGGCAATGGTAAATGGGGACTAACTGTATTCTGCATGGGTGAGCCAATCATCCGTTTGAGATGCAAAGTTGCCTGTTTTTCCTGCAATTGTTCTTTTCTACAATGAATGCTGTTGTAGTGATTTTCAGTTTCAAAACCCACAGGCCAATCATGTAGAACATCTTTTGTCAAATTCAGCCATAAGGGTAAAAAACACTGAGGGGATGACGATGTTGGTCAGAAAAGAAACAAGGCAACTGCTACATGAATTTCAGTTGTATGTGTGCTGGAAGTGGGAATATGCATCAACTGCAGTGTATAATTTGTACACAAGTACTGTCCAAAGAATCTTTGAAACCCTGAGTAATTACATGTCTCTGTAATTTTAAGCATGAAGTATATAAGGGCAAGCGCTTTTATTTTGTGTAATTATAAAACTAGTTTATACGCTGTGAAAAATATTTGTACTGTGTTACAAGGGACCATGAAATTTTGATGAAACTGGTGCGGTTTGGGGCTCAAACGGAAAGTTTGAGTTGCTGATTGAAACACTTTTGAATAACTTACCTTTTACTGATGTTGAGTTAATGG